CTGGGGTTCTACCCATCTCTATCCAGCCAGTAAGCTTAATATCGCTTCTGATATTTGAGTTCTGTTCCACATGTTCCTCCAACTCTACCAGGACCTCCCAATGTGATACTTTTCAGAGTGGTTGGTAGTGGTCGCCGGGCACCACCTAGTTCTTCTCTTCTCAGGGTTGTAGAGCCTGATGCTTGTGCAGCTCATTAGTCCACCAGACTAATTGTTTCCACGTGTCTTTAGATTTCCATCACTCTTCTTTCCTCTAGATGGGGAGAGGACAGCCCCGTAGATGGTTGCTCATGAGCTTGTGCGATCCTAATTGCTACCATGAGTATTTTTTAAAAACTCTTCAATAGCACTATCTCCCTTCTTTGGACTATATTACTGAGTTGACACATAATTGCATATTAATTTGTATAGTTACTTTTTGCATTTTTAGATCCCAAGCTAGCTTATATTTCTCTTCTACCTAGTAAAGTGCTGGTAATGAAGTCAATCCATAATAAATGTTCATTAAGTAAAAAAGTGAAATGCAAGGTATATTGAATGCAAAGGGACAACTGGGGAGTGTGACTTAAACTTCTTTTTCTTTTTAAAAATTTTATTATGATTATTATTTATGCCTTTAGGCTCATCATCTAACTCTGTGAGGCTGTTTCCAAACTAGTAATTTGCTGATTACTATTTCAGAGTCACCCTGGATCTTGTTAAAATGTAGATTCTGACTCAGTGTCTCTGGTGGAATGGCACATTCTCAGCAGGGGTTGGAAGGAGCATGGACCAGTTCAAAGCCTGGTGAATTGAAGGTTATCCTATGAACCCTGTAGGACTTAAGTGTAAGAGTGAAGAGCTGCTGAGGTCCATCAATGTACTTCATGGACTATGACCCTAGATTATTCAAATTTCCCTTTGAATGCTGACCATAAAATATTTTCCTTCTTGTTTTTAGACTTGCGACCTTATATCTCGAAAGAGGGCCCAACAGGATAGGCAGTATTTACAAAAAGGCCATTTACAGACATTACACAGATGGGACCTATTCCACGGAGATCCCCAAACCCTCCTGGCTTGGGTTCCTGGGCCCAATATTGAGGGCTGAAGTGGATGATGTGATTGTCATTCACTTGAAGAACTTCGCTTCCCGGCCCTACTCCTTGCATCCTCATGGTGTTTTCTACAACAAGGATTCAGAAGGTAACTATGAGACCCGCATCGCATCGTGACAGTCTTGTCTCTGTTTCCTAAGTAGCGGAATGTTAGTGACAGTAAAAGTGATTCCTTTAACTGAACAATAACATCAGTGAAGAATGTTTTTCCCAGAAAAATTAACTATACAAGACCCACAGGGCAGCATTTCCCCCAAACGGAGCCCAGAGGCAGAGGGGGCAGAAAGAGAGGGGAAAACAGAGGGCACAGGGAAGGAGTGGGAAGAAGGCTGTTTCATTGAGGGATTACAACTAAGGTCACAAAACACATTTGTGAAAACTGTTGGATGGAAAACTTACTTCTTTCTGTAAGCTTTCACCAAAGCCACAGTAAAATCTTTATAACAGAAATAAGTAAGCAGCCCGTTACTGCAGACTTGATGCTGACTCCTAGCAATCCCAGCTGTGAGAGATTCAAATTAAACAACAACGAAAAGCAAAATATATACACCTAAAATTATTAATCATTGTTGGAAGAATTTAAAGAGATTACAATTCCATGTTCATGGATTGAAAGATACAATATAGCCAAGTAGGTAGCCCTTCAAGATATGACAAAATAATAATTTATAAATTATCAAGGGTTCATGAGGGAGGGGGGAGTGGGGAGGGAGGGGAAAAATGAGGACCTGATGCTGGGGGCTTAAGTGGAGAGCAAATGTTTTGAGAATGATGAGGGCAATGAATGTACAAATGTGCTTTACACAATTGATGTATGTATGGATTGTGATAAGAGTCATATGAGCCCCTAATAAAAGGATTAAAAAACAAAAACAAAACAAAAAAAAGGTAGCCCTTATATTTATGATCACTGATTTTTTAAAATAATATTGCCACATCAATACAATGGGGAAAGGATAATTTTTCAGCAACTTTATATCTACCTGAAGAAGAAATTAATTTAGAGCCTTACCTCACATTATGTATAAAAATTCATTCAGAAAGATCACAGATATTAACCTATTAAAACTATATAAGCCTTCTGGGAAAAAATAGGAAAAATCAAAATTATCTTGGGTTAGGAAAGAAGTTTGGGTATATAATATCAAAAGCAGAGAAAAGAAAAATTTAATAAATTGGACTACATCAAAATTAAACACTGTTTCACTTCAGAAGTATTGTTAAAAAAAAGACAAACCACTGACTGGAAGAACATATTTATATATCATATTTCTGATAAAGGATAGTTATCTATTATGCAAAATAAAAAGACAATCCAATTTTTAAATGGACAAAAATATGTGAGTCGGTATTTCAACAAAGAAAATACATGAATATTTTAATAAGGTTATTAAAAGATGCTCAACACCAGTCGTCATCGGAGCAATGCAAACTCAAATCACACAAGCTGTCACAGCACACCCATGAGGATGATTGCTCTTTGGTTTTGAGGGGACTTCAGGGGACGTTTTTGTTTGAAGACAAATATTATCTCAGGGCAATGGTATCAGGATAGGTCCTACCGCCATGGCTCCGTGGAGTTCCCAAGCATTCAAAGTTCTGTTCTACATTGCCCCACTTTTGATCAGGATTCTTCCATGAAATTTTTGATCAAAATGTTCAGCAATAGTAACTAGGGTTTTTTTCCTAAGAGGTCTGCTAACAAAAGTTCTTTCAATATTTGTCTATTTGGAATGTTTGTTATTTTGCCTTCATTTTTTATCATTTTTATCATTTTATTGGGAGCTCTTATGGATATCATAACATTCTATAGTTCAATCACATCCATCAGTATTGTACAATTGTTACCACAATCCGTTTCAAGACATGTTCTTTTTGAACTCTTTGATATCAGCTCCCCTTTATCCACTCCCTCCCCTACCCTCTCCCCCAGGAGCCCCCTTTAAAAAATCATTTTATTGGGGGCTCATACAGCTCTTATTACAATCCATCCATCCTCCATTGTGTCAAGCACATTTGTACATATGTTGCCATCATCATTTTCAAAACATTTTCTTTCTACTTGAGCGCTTGGTATCAGCTCCTCATTTTTTCCCTTTCTTCCTCTACCCTCCCTCCTTCCTGAACCATTGATAATTTATTTATTTTTTTTTTTATGTCTTCCACTGGTCGATGTCTCCATCTACTTTTCTGTTGTCCATCTCCCTGGGAGGGGGTTATATGTCGATCATTGTGATCAGTTCTCCCTTTCTGCCCCCACCTTTCCCTTACCTTTCTGGTATCTCTACTCTCATTGTTGGTCCAGGAACCTTTATTATTTTCTATGTTGCCTTCATTTTTGAAGGGTGACTTTTGTGTAGCATTGTTGGTTGACTTTCGTTTTCTTCGCAGCACCTTGAGTATGTCATCTCATTGTGCCCCGGTTTCCCATGTTTAAAATGAAAAGTCCACTGTTTATCCTGTTGATTCACTCTTGTCTTCTCTTTCTGCCTTCAATAGTTACTCTTTCAATCGTTGTGGCGGGGCACTCTTTGTGTCTCTTTGTATTTGTAATTGTCTTACTATGGTTCATTAAGTTTTCTCTAATGTATTGATAGAATCTTGTACAAAAATTGGAAAGTTGTTGGCCATTCTTTCTTCAAACAATTTTGTCTCTTCTCCTTTGGTAGACCATTATTGCATATTTAGCACACTTGATATTGTCTCGTAGGTCTTTGAGACCTGGTTCACTGTTCTTCAATCATTTCCTCCAACTCTTTTTCCTTCAGATAAGATCGTTTCTATTAATCTACTTTCAAAGTTAGTGATTCTTCTGATCTTGAAGTTCCAGTTGAATTCCTCCAGTGAATGTTTTATTTCATTTATTATACTTTTCAATGCAAAAACTTTCCATTAAAAAAATAATTTCTATTTCTTTCTTGAGATTCTAGATTGGTTGAGTTGTTTTGTCCTATGTACCTTTATTTCTTTCAACACAGGCATATCAGCTGCTTGAATATATTTTTAATAGTTGCTTTGAAGTCTTTGTTTGATAGATCCAACATCTGTGGGCACTTGGAATGTCAACTGATCCTCCCCAACACCCCCAGTGATGTATGTTCTTTTATCTATTTTGGATTTTTAAATATTAACATATGTAGACCTTCCTTTAAATAGTTGTGCAGAATGTATCAGTTCAGTATTGGTAGCTACTTAGGTTGGGTAGTTACTAGCAATTGTACAATGGGCATTTCAGTCCCTGAATGCCAACAAGTGATTTAAAGTATATCCCTAGAGTAAATTTTTAAAAATGAAATGGCTGGTTATATTCAAATAAAGTGTTTTGGATAAGAATTGCCAAGTTGGTCTCTAAAAAATTGCACATTGTAAGGTATGCACATTTTAGAATAATAACCATTTGAGACCAAAAGGGCAGTACTTACCCAATGACCAAGTCCAGCAAGGGGTGGGGGGGAGGAGAAATGGAAACAAGAACCACAGGGAGGAGTGGGTGTGTGATGTTCCCTTGTGGGGATTGCAATTAATGGCATGAGACAAATGTGTATGACTTCTTGAATGGAAAACTCCTGTACTCTGTAATGTTTCAGCCAGCACAAGAACAAGTTTTGGAACAGCACCTTTGTACTCTTCTATTATTTATTTACAACAGCCTATAGTCGACAGCCTATTTCTCCCATAACCCCACCAACCTTCAGGATTCTCAAACTTTACAATTTCCTTATTTTGATAGGTGACAAGGTTGTAATACTTTTTTAAAGCCCCACATGCTAGCACACATACAAGCAAATGAATGTTTTTTTATAGTCTGGTATTGTTAATACTACCAGTACTCAAAATCTTTTTAAAACTCCTTCTTCTAATCATAAACACACAGAGAGATGATTAAAGACTTAAGCAAGTACTATAAATAAATAAATAATGACCAGTTTTCATTGGATGTTTACTGTATGCTAGGTAGGTATTATATTTATCATCACCTTATATATGATTGACAGAAGAGAAGGAAATTGCCTAACCCACATGTGGTAGTCACCTAATCTGGTGTCAATTTAAGGATTAAGAGTGAAGGGGTGGAGTCTAGTCTGTCAATCGGATCATAGCCAATGAGGCTTCTGTGTGGGCATGGCCTTCTTCTGAGAATTCTAGGAAATCCGGTATTCTTTTAAGAGGCAGGAGACACTATCTCTCTCAGTTCCCTCCCTTGGAGACTCTCTACTGACAATGCCACACTCTGGGACACGTAGCATCTAACAAGCCACATGGATGCAGCCACACTGAGCTACACTGATACAGCCAGAGCCCTGGGAGCTGGATGAGCCATGTGGAGACCTGCCAGCACTGAGATGCTTACAACACCACTGGGCCCAAAGACTTTCTACCCACTGGCCTGTGATCATCCTTCATTCCACACCATTGCATGTGTTTCATGATTCTGAAGAGGATTTTATGGATTGGTATCGGACATATGGGCTAGTATCAGACTTATGGACTTGTACTGTACTGGGTTGGGATGCTTTCTCGATGTTCAATTCCTCTTGTATATAAAATTCTTTCTAACACACCACATAACTAATAAGTGATGGAGATAATACTTAATTCTAAGCAGTGTAATTCTAGTGCCTATGAGCCTACCACTGGCTCTACTCCCCTCCTCACTGTGTGAATACACAGTAGAAAACTGATGCATATAGGGTTGCTTGAGCCAGATATGCTGGGCTTTGCAATCTACATCTAACCTTTTATCCTAAGAGGTATGAGAAGCCATAGAAGGAATCGGACTTGATATTTGAAAGGTCACAATTGGTATGGCTTAGCAGAATGGATTACAAAGATAAGAAATGTGGGTCAAGCCAGTTAAAAGTCCCTGCAGAAGGTGTAGCTGAGAGAGGTTGGCAGCATGGATGAGGCTTGTAATTGATGGCCAAAACCAAATCCAAACCAACTGCCCCTGAGTCCACTCATGGTGACTCAATAGGATTGAGTAGAACTGCTCCCTAGGCTTTCAGAGTCTGTACATCTTTATGGAGCAGAGAGCTTTGTTTTTCTCCTACTAAGAGACTGGTGGGTTTGAACTGCCGACCTTGTGGTTAGCAGCCCACTGGATAGCC